AATGTAGTAAGACTCAGTGACACTCAGCACCAATAAGCAGTTCCCAGTTCTGTCCCTTGCCTGTCCCTGTGTATGGTAATGATCATTCTGATTCTTAAGTTTATCCTTTCTTGTGTCCCTTTTAATATGGTTTTATTGCACTTACATAGTTTTTAAAGAAGTACAGATTATTAGGAGCTCTGGTAGCGTAGTGGTTACAAGTTGGTCTAGCCACAAGTTCCAAACTACCAACTGCTTTGTGGGAGAAAGATGAGGCTTTCAGCTCCCGTGAAGATTTACAGCTTAGGAAACCCTATATAGGGTCGCTATGAGTCGGAACCGACTCCACAGCACATCACCACCACCACCACTGTTTATTAAGGGAAATTTCAAACATACACATACACAATTACAGTGAATTTCATATATATATATACCTATCATCCAGCTTCAACACATGGCCAGTCTGCCCATACTCTTCTCTGTCAGTGGATTATTTTGAAGCAAGTTCCAGAAAAATCAACAATGTATAGATCTTGTTGGTAAGTGCTGTAGAGCCAGTTCCGACTCATAGCGACCTTGTATAGCATTTCTGAGTAGGGACTGGAGGTTTAAACCACCAACTTTGAGATTAGCAGACCAATGCATATCCAACAGAGCCACACTAGACCCCAACAGATACAAGTATGTATGTATGTGTGTGTGTGTATATATATATATATATATATATATATATCTGTCTGTGTATATATGTAGGAAATCCTGGTGTGTTGCTGTAGGTTAAGCACTGGATGGGAAGCTACCTCTTAGGTCACTACCTTGTCTGCTGCTTATTAATGTTACGTGCCAGTGAGTTAGTTCCAACTCATAGCGACCTTACACATGGTTTCTGAGACTGTACATTTATGAGGGAGCAAAAAATCTTATCTTTCTCCTGCAGAGTGTCATGCCTACTTGAACTGCTGACCATGTAGTTGCAGTCTACTGCTTATCCTACAGAGCCACCATACTTAGTATTTACTGTCTATAAAATCAAAGAAGACGGGGTGGCTTTGTTTTGTTTAGGGGACAGGGATGTGACAAGTCTACTTTTTGCACAATGAGGGAAGCTGGTTCTACAGAATGTCTCTCCCCATGCCAACTAACCTTCTTATATTATAGAGAGCTTGTCTTTGAAATTGGGAACCCCCATTTTTTTTTTCTTAAACAAGGACTCACTTGGGCTGGGAGGAGCCTTTCAACATTACTAAGCCTTTATTTTCCAGAGTGACAAGGCTGTGTTGGCAACTCCAACCAGAGTGCACATTGGTTCTGGCACAGCCAGGACTATAAACCCAGCAGCTCTGGTGATTTCGTTCTGCTTACAGCAACTTCTACTTCCTTCTCCCTCCCAGCTCTATACTAATGGAAATTCACATCACCAAGTATACACATGTTTAACTAAAACTAAATTAGATACGTAAACTAAATTTTCACAATGCCAGTTTCTAATACTTACAACATTTTCTACCATATTTCATGTGCTAAATAGACCCTCCCCCTATCCACCGCCCCAAGATTTCTTTTTTAAATTTGGGCCTTGAAGAAATGAAAAACATAAAAAACAGACTCTCTGCTTAATATTCCACCAAACACTTGACAAGATCTGTTTTGCTAAGTCCAAGCTTGAAATTAAATCAGAGCCTCCTTGTACTGCTATAAAAACCCATCTGAACTCATGTAAAACTGGAAGAAATAATGACTTGAACTCACTCGTCAGCGGGGTCCTGGGACATGCAGCTTCTCCCATTGTTTCTCAGCAATCCCTCCAATCCAGCCTAGAGAAGGAGGAGGGCAGGAAGCAACGAGGAGCTAATCACCCTACAGCTTCCTAGTCGGCTATTCGGCTCGCTATACGTGGTTTCTGTAGTCTTAGAAATTGCATCATGAAATTTCTATCACTGTAAAATGATAGAGAATTCTGAAATAAATTATATTAACTGTCCTATCATTGATGCTTTTGAAACAATAACCAAATCACCAATTATGAAGGTTTGTCTAATGATGAGACGTCACCAGGAAAGTTGGTATTACTAATGAATTCAAGCCCTAAAAAGGAGGAGGCTTTCTGATAGCCCGCTCCCTCTCTACTGCTGGCCCTCCACCAAGGCCGCTCACTGTAGCCCACTGCAAACTGGTGGGTCTCATGTAGACGGCAGCTGCCGCCCTGGACAGCTAAACTTCTGTACTTGGGCTACAAAGCGCTACACCCACCACCCTCAGCTTCCCTTGTTGAGGTTGAGGAGGACGTGTGGCTTACCCCTGGTTTCTCAGGTATAGTTTTTGCCTCTGGGTCTGGCACTGTCGTTTCCTCCGGCAGTCCTTCCTGCACCTTTCCTGTACCACTGGCTCAGTCAGCACTGGGATGAGGATTCCCTACTGGATTCCACAGCCCCCAGTAGCCTGCAGGTCTGGCAGCATTGCCAGTGGCGATGATGAGGTTTGAAGCGGGCAGTCTAGACTGGAGTTGTGTAGGAGAGAGGACAGCAGCTTCAAGTTAACGTATGCTGAATGCAAGCCCTACTGGGGTGTGTATGCATTTACACTTTTATATTGTATGTAAACTTTTTTTGGTGGTACTATATGAGAAACACTGGAATGCTAGCCACAGGTTGAGAAAAATGAGGCTAACTGCAACTGTAAAGATTTATATTCTTGGTAACCCTATATAGAATCGCTACCAGTCAGAATCCACTCGATAGCTTTGGTTTGGTTCTTAACATGTTGTTAGGATCCATTTGTATTGTTGCATGTTATAGTTTATTCAAAGTGATACCTATGTAAACTTCCATTGTGTAGACACACCACAATTCATTCATCTTCTCTTGATAGGTTATTTCTAGGCTTTTGGTATTGTAAATAGTGCTGCTGTGAATGTTATATATTCCTCCAGTTGTGCAAGGATAAGAATTTAATTTCTCTTGTAGATTCTTGGGTTAAAGGTTATGTGAATATCCATCAACGTTTTCCAAAGTGGTTAAACTTCCATCAATGCACAGGGATATTTTCACTATAGATTTAATCATGTTTATTCTGGTTAGTGGGGAGAATGCCGGCTCCATAGAATAAGCACTGGACTATGAACCAACCACAGGGTCAGCAGTTCGATACTACCAGCTGTTGAGGTTTTCTGTTCCCATGAAGATTTATGGCCTTGGAAACCTTATACAGGATTACTATAAGTCGGAACCAACTTGATGGCACTTAAAAATAACAACGTTCTGGTTAATCTTCTGTGGTGGCTTCCCTTCCTCAGGTGTTCATCATGCCTTTCCAGTATTCCTATTTTAGAGCCAATAACTGTGTATCAGGCACTGTGTTAGGTGCTGAGACTATAGCAATACAGCAGACAGATAAACATTTCCACACTCAAGTTCTGCCTATCCTTATGTTACTACACAGGACCTTCCTGATCTGGCATTGTTTTAGCTCCCTAGCCTCAACCTGCTTTCTTAGCTTTGTTTCTTGCCACTTCCTGAAACCTATCCTAAATGTTGCCATTGAGTTGGTACTGACTGATAGTGACCCTTTGCACAACAGAACGAGTATAATGAGCTATTTCCAATTTCTAAAAGTGCTGTGCTTTTTCCTAGCTTTATGAGTTGGAACCAGCATGATGGCACTTAAGAACAATTAACAAGAAATGGCCTTGCAAGTACTGTTATCTGTGTCTTCAAATCTCCACTTTCACTAGTACATGCTGCGTCTCATATCAGACATCACCTGTTGTAGGAAATCTTCCTTCTCTACACCCATTCAACCTTGTACATACCTGTGCACAGATTATGTTGTACTGATCTTTTTGGCCCTTCTTTAGTAGAATGTATTCATTCAAGTCTTTCATGCTTATCTTTTATTCTTGAATTTCTGGTATCCAGAATAGTACCTGAGGCATCCAAAGTTGTTTGGTAGATGTTGAATGAATGAGTGGAGATTTGGACTGTTTCTTAATTAAAAATTTTATTGTGCTTTAGATAAAAGTTTACAGAGTAATTTCGTTTCCCATTGATAGTTTGTACACCAGAGTATCCCATGACATTGGTTGCGTTCCCCACAGTGTGTCAGCACTTTTTCCATTTCTGCCCTGGGTTCCCCGCTTCCTTGTGTCTGTATTTCGTACTCCTGCCTGCCTTCTCATCTTGGCTTTGGTCAAATGTTTTCCTTTTGATCTCATGTAATTGATTGATCTAAGGAACATATTTCTATCAGCAATAGTTGGGCCCTTGTCTGTTTCTCTGAAATGAGTCTCCAGGAGCGGCATCAGTTCCAGGTCAGAAGAGTGTCGTAGGGCCGTAGACTTGGGTTTATCTAATCTATCTAAGAGTAGTGAGTCTGGCCTTCTTTGTGAATTTATCCTACTCTTTCTGGGACCCTCTGATGTGATCCCAGACAGACTGGTCAGTATTGGTAGCCAGCTACCTTCTACTTCTTGTCTCAAGTTGTGTAGACTGTGGCCCCTTAGCCCTTTGGACTAGTTTCTTGATACTTTGGTTTTCTTTACTCTCCTTTGCTGCTTGCCAGCTTTTAAGACCCCAAATGCTATTCACCAAAGTAGGATGCAAAGCATCATCGTCTGAACTGTGTTGTGCCAATTGCTGTAGATGTCCCCGGAGTCCATGGCCCATCACCTTCAAGCCTAGGAACTTGTGTCCTACAAGATGTGTGGTTATGTCTAAGAAGTTTCCATGATGGTGCCTCCTAGGGACATTTTGAAAGAACAGATGACCAGATTTAATTACAGACTTGTTAGTGAGTGAAGGAAACTAGAAAATCAGATGTGATTTCAAAGTTTCTCCTTGAGAGACTGTTAAGACTTTAATGTATGTTATTATAAAGTTGGTGGTATGAGTTGAGGTGAGCTGTGGAATATGACACTGTGTAGCTATCTTTGCTGCATAGAAATCTTGTCACAGAAATCTTTGGGCTTAGTGTCTCCTGTTCATGTTTTTCCCAATCTGTCTGTTTTTAAATATGTGTTTCAGGTGCAGAACTTGGCAGTGAGGAACCAACAGGCCTCAGCTCAAGGACCCCAAATACAAGGCTCAACTCAGAAGGCCATTCCTCCTGGAGCCTCCCCTACCTCTAGCCTTTCCCAGGCCTCTAGTCAGGCCCTTGCTGTGGCTCAGGCTTCCTCTGGGGCCACAGGCCAGTCCCTCAACCTTAGCCAAGCTGGTGGAGGCAGTGGAACTGGCATCCCAGGGTCTATGGGTCCAGGTGGAGGTGGCCAGGCACCTGGGGGCTTGGGACAGTTGCCTTCCTCAGGAATGGGTGGTGGTGGGAGCTGTCCCAGAAAAGGCACAGGAGTGGTACAGCCCTTGCCTGCAGCCCAAACAGTGACTGTGAGCCAGGGCAGCCAGACAGAGGCCGAAAGTGCAGCAGCCAAGAAGGCGGAAGCCGAGGGGAGTAGTCAGCAGAGTGTGGGCATGAACCTGACACGGACAGCAGCCCCTGCTCCCAGCCAGACTCTTATTAGCTCAGGTGAGTTGTCACCTCTCAGAATGCCATTTTTCTCACAACTTGGCCCTGGAGTAGTGGAAGGAAAAATCATGTCATCCTTGGACTTACTAGTTAGGAGAAGAGAGGACAGATAACAGATCAATCTCGATTTCACACCCGGTAGCAGTTGCTTCATAAGTTGCCTTGTTTTCTCTGCTGAATTCCTCAGTTTACTCCCTTCATTCTCTCAGTTCTTATTGAAGGGCCTATTGTGTTCTAGGAGGTAGAGCTTTGACAAACCCGTTCCCTATTTTCATGGAGCCAGTCTGTCTTGCTGACTGCAGAGTGAAACGGATTTGCTATTTAAGTAGATCAAAGAAAATGGAAGTTAGAGAAATGCAGGAGAGTTTTTGAGGATTGTTAAATGGTTGTGCAAGGAAGGGAGTTATTTTCTTTGAGGTGTTGAAGACTAGATTATGATCATGTCTGATTCAGGGGGAAGAGTAAGAATGAGGTGATCTCTAAGTTTCCTCCAAGTTTATTCACTGTATGAATCTAAAGCTAGTTACATCGTGGAAAGATGATTTTACTTTTATTTTATAATGATAATTATTTTCTGTACTTCTCTCTGTTCCCTTGTGGGTATATGCCTGTAGCCACCTACACACAGATCCAACCCCATTCACTGATTCAGCAGCAACAACAGATCCACCTACAGCAGAAACAGGTGGTGATCCAGCAGCAGATTGCCATCCACCACCAGCAACAGTTCCAGCACCGTCAGTCACAGCTGCTCCACACAGCCACCCACCTCCAGTTGGCCCAGCAGCAGCAACAGCAGCAACAGCAGCAGCAACAGCAGCAAGCCACAACCCTCACTGCCCCTCAGCCCCCACAGGTCCCACCTACTCAGCAGGTCGCACCTTCCCAGTCCCAGCAGCAAGCTCAGACCTTAGTGGTTCAACCTATGCTTCAGTCTTCACCTCTGTCCCTCCCACCTGACCCAGCCCTCAAGCCACCCATCCCCATCCAGTCCAAACCACCTGGAGCACCTATTAAGCCTCCTCAGTTAGGAGCTGCTAAGATGTCTGCTACTCAGCAACCACCACCTCACATCCCGGTTCAAGTTGTAGGCACCCGACAGCCAGGTACAGCCCAGGCACAGGCTTTGGGTTTGGCACAGCTGGCAGCTGCTGTACCTACTTCCCGGGGAATGCCTGGTTCAGTGCAGACAGCTAATCAGGCCCATTTGGCGGCCTCACCACCTTCACCCCAGGCTCCTGGTGCACTGCAGGAGTGCCCTCCTGCATTGGCCTCTGGGATGACCCTTGGCCCTGTGCAGGGGACAGCACATGTTGTAAAGGGTGGTGCAACAACCTCCTCACCTGTTGTAACCCAGGTTCCTGCTGCCTTCTATATGCAGTCTGTACACCTGCCGGTGAGTGATGTCTGGTGGTTTTAAAGAAACTCTCACCTTGAGAGTGGACTTGGGGTCTAGTAGAAATAGATGGAACTTTAATAATTGAGGTTAATAGTGATATTTACCTGCTCCTTTTGTGAGAGAAAGACGGACCACACACATTAATGGGCATATCTGAACTTTATACTCTTTAATTTGCTACTGCAAACGTTATAGGCTTTTGAGTATGTATTAAGATAGCCGTGACCTAATTAATCTTTAGAAAAAGAACAGTTCTTGATTGCTCTGTAATGAAACTAGAGTCTCAAGGTCTAGGCAAAGACCAAATAATGTATTTTCTTTTGCTCCGATGTAGTAGTTAAGTTTTTTTGGAAATGATCAGCAATTTTCATGTACTATGGGAAGGATACAAACTGAGGAATATAGAATTTCAAAAATGATCCCAAAAGTATGGGTGTAGTTTTGGTTCCTTTTAGTCTTAATACTCATACGTCTTGGTTTCTTTCTTCTTCCCTATTTCCTATTTACTGTATAGAGTAAACCCCAGACAATGGCTGTCAAACGCAAGGCTGAGTCTGAAGAAGAGAGAGATGTTTCTACATTGGGTTCAATGATACCTGCTAAGGCATCTCCAATAGCAGAGAGCCCAAAGGCCATAGAGGAGAAAAACAGTCTTGGAGGTAAGTAACTTCTACAATAAAATGCTATTGGAATGCACAGAGATAGGAGAATTTTAAATGAGCCAGAAGACAAATCTAGTTCATAGAAAAGGTCCTAAAGTAATAAAACAAAACAAAAACAGGGAATCCAGAGTGAGTAATCAAGGTTTTTGTTGTTAAGTGCCGTCGAGTCGGTTCCGACCCATCGCGACCTTATATAGGGTTTCCGAGGAGCAGCTGGTGAGCTTAAACCACCAACCTTGCAGTTCAGACGGCTTTGCAGTCTGGCGCATGTAAAGATGTATCATTGTGGAAGATCTACCTGGGTCAATAATGTCATTCCCTATTTGCTCCTTAATCTGTGTTTGTTTTCCAGAAAAAGCTGAACCAGTGGCCAGTGTGAATGCTAATACCCCAAACAGTGAATTAGTAACCTTGACTCCTGCTCCGTCAGCACCACCTCCTACACTAGCCATGGTGTCCAGACAGATGGGTGACTCCAAACCCCCACAGGCCATTGTGAAGCCCCAGATTCTCACTCACATCATTGAAGGCTTTGTTATCCAGGAAGGAGCAGAGCCTTTCCCGGTGAGGGTGGGGCCAGAAGGTGGGACTTTAAAGTGGGGACTTGTCTGATTGTCTTTTCATACTCTACTAAGAACAAAAGGCCAAGAGCTGTTTAATAGAGAATGTGTGCTGTGTATTGGGATAGTTATAGAGGGGGAAAGGAAGAGAAAGGAGAGTGTTCATGAGAAAATGAAAATGTTGGGAAGAGAGAAGGAAAGGAAGAAAGTAAAATTTAAACCTATAGTGTTTGACAATTGAGAATGTTTTATAGTGAATAAAATTGAGGTAGAGAAGTTACGCAAGATTTTTTTAGGTACCAGAAAGTTAGTTGCAGAGCCAAGACTAGAACCCGATGTATTGATTGGGCTCCTAGTGCATTCTGCACCTTAGCAAGGAAAAAGGACAAAATAGGAAGCCCCAGGGCAGGGACTCTGGTGACTTCAGTGGCATCACTAGGGGAGTTGGTGCTGGGGGTGGGGACCACACTGGGAAATGCAGTCAGAGGAGGGTGACACCAAAATGACTGTCTAAAAGTTTTGTTCAGTGTTTCATCTGAAGAGTTACTGTGTTTTATATCTCTGTAGCTAGTTAGAACAAGAAGAGGTTTTGTAAGCCCAGCTTACATGCATCAGTATATGGCTAAAACTTGATGCTGATGGGCTTTTGGACACTTCTAACGTGCTCCAGTCAGAACTCTCAGATAGTCATCGTGTGAAATTCAAGAACGGGCTGTACTTTTTGTTGACGGTGTTTTGTACTTGCTGACTTTGTTAAATTTTCTGGTGTTTTTAGCAATAATAAATGGTCATTAATATCAGTAACTATTAAGAATGTAGTAGTAATCAAAGGAAACAGAGAAATCAAAAAGCCTTCTCTGTTCAGTTACTAATAGTGTTGTAATATAGGATTTTAAAACACAGTTTTGTTTATTATTTGGATAATCTAAGAAATACTACATTTCAGCAGTTTACAGCTACATAGGATTTCCGAGGCTGTAGATCTGTATGGGTGCAGAAAGCTTCATTTTTCTTCTTTGTAACAGCTGGTAGTTTCAAACAGCTGACCCTGAGCTTAGCAGCCTGACTCGTAACCACCAACGCTAGCAGAGCTCTTCATATTACAGATTAGTCTGTGGATTATAATTGACAATGAACATGGCTAAAGATTCTGTATGGTCTGGTATGGGAGATGGCCCATAGGGTGGTGACACCATGACTTAACTGCACAGAGAGGGTGTACTACATCAACCCTAGTGATGCCACTGAATGGGTTAGCTGAAAAAAACCAATTAGACTCCTGATTGCAATGTTGAAAGTAACTCTTTCTGAGCCAAACTTGGATACAGGCAAAGGAATGATGGCGAGGAATGTCAGATAGCTTATATAGACACAGAAAGGAAACAGGCTAACTTAACTGTGAACTGTCACTTGGACAGGTGGGTTGTTCTCAGTTGCTGAAAGAGTCTGAGAAGCCACTGCAGACTGGTGTCACAACAGGACTGGATGAGAATCAGTCAGGTGGCCCCTTGGGAGGGGACAGCCCATCTGCTGGTAAGTACTTAAAACCCCATTTGGGTTAGAGGTTCATGGAGATATGTTTGAGGAGTTGGTATAAAATAATGAGTCATTTAAAATAAGTATATTAAGTTTTACTATACACCTGCTCATTGCTGTCTAGTTGATTCCAACTCATAGCGGCCCTATAGGGCAGAGTAGAACTTCCCCAAAGTTGCAAATCTTTATGGAAACAGCCTGCCTTGTCTTTGTACTGAGGAGAGGACTATTGGATTCAGACACTACCTGTTGGTTAGCCGAGTGCTGTAACCACTGTGCCATTAGAGTTTCTCATCAACACGCAGAAGCCGTATTAGTATCATTGTATGTAGTCACAAGTTACTGGGAATTTTATCAAGCTAAGGTAACCTGTTACATTTTTCTTTACTAAAAGGCTTTGTTATTGTTTGCCATGGAGTCCGTTCCGACTCATAGCCACCCTGTACTAGGGTTTCTGAGGCTGTAAATCTTTACGTGAACAGAAAGCCTCATCTTTCTCCTGTGGAACAGCTGGTAGTTTTGAACTGCTGACCCCGAGGTTAGCAGTCTGATTCATAATCACTGTGCTACCAGAGTTCTACTTTTACAACAACAACAACAAAAAAGATCTAAAGTAGGTTATTAATATCCTTAACTTCCAGTTTTTCCTTGTTATAGATTCTGTAATCTGTATTAAGGACTGTAGATTTTCCTCCTTGGTTTTGAAAATCTTTGTGGAAGAAGGATCTGCTATCTTTCTCATTTTAGTCAATTAGTTCTTTCCCATTCAAAGATGGAGTGTATTTGGATAAATCCATATAAAATTAGCTAGCAAGACATTTACAATGCAAATAGAAAGACACTAAAACTTTATATCTTGAAGGACAAATCCTTATGACTTTAGATTTTTACGTTTTCTAATTTATTTTCTAACTTTTGATCATGATTAGTCAAATGAAAACCCCCATGTGCCGATTGCTCTGCTTCAACAAGTATCACCTTGTGTCCAGTCTTATTTTTACCTGTATTCCCCACCTTCTCCCTGCTTATATTATGGCTCTGGAATGTTGTGTGAGATTCCTAATTAGGTTGTATGGGTCTCTGGTGGGGACAACTATGTCAGTATATCTCTGAAAGATTACAGTCCAGGCCTAGGCCTAACGATGGCCTGAGGGATAGCAGAAACTGATGTTGACTCTCCAGCTATGCCTGTTGTTTTTTTTTTTTTTTCCAGAACTAGATAAGAAGGCAAACCTCCTAAAGTGCGAGTACTGTGGGAAGTACGCCCCAGCGGAACAGTTTCGTGGCTCCAAGAGGTTCTGCTCCATGACTTGTGCCAAGAGGTACTTATAGGCCCCTCTTTGCCTCAGCATGGTTCCTATGTCAAAGGTCGTACATTCTCTGGGATCAGCTCACTGTTGATATTTTATGTCTCACTTTTATTCCCTACTCCAAATGAGCTCTTAAAGTAGCAATTCACATTTAGGGCTGGGTAGCAAGAGTGGTTTGTAGCACTGCTGATACCTTTTATAGCACTTCCATATCCTCTGACCTATAGGTACAATGTGAGCTGTAGCCACCAGTTCAGATTGAAGAGGAAAAAAATGAAAGAGTTTCAGGAAGCCAACTATGCTCGTGTTCGCCGCCGTGGGCCCCGCCGCAGCAACTCCGACATTGCCCGTACCAAGATCCAGGGCAAGCGTCACCGGGTCAGTTTCTGTTGTAGAGCCAGCCACCTTTAAAGTGGACCTTTTAGCTTCATCCCCTGCAGAGCAATACCTTTGCCCAGGTAAAACGTGTGACACCAGAACTCTGGTTTCATGTGGATTCTATTACTCTGAATTTCAAGACATCCTGATCTTTATTTCCTCATGCCTGATGACTGGTTCACATATCCATTAATCTTTATAGTGTACTTGAGTAGAGATAATCTAGAGCCATTGTTAGTAATATGGCAAGAAAAGGGAGAATCAAGACTGTGATTTCACATTATGAGATGAGTTTTACTGTATGCCTAACGTTAACTCCAACCCAGGTTGGTTGAGGAAGTTGGGACTCATGATACTGATGAGCTGTTCTTGCCCTCACTTGTGCTATTTTCTCTGTAGGGACAAGAAGACTCTAGTCGGGGTTCAGATAATTCCAGTTATGATGAAGCACTCTCTCCAACATCTCCGGGGCCTTTATCAGTGAGAGCTGGGCATGGAGAACGAGACCTGGTGAATCCCAACACAGCTCCGCCAACACCAGAATTACATGGCATCAACCCTGTGTTTCTGTCCAGTAACCCTAGCCGTTGGAGTGTAGAGGAAGTGTATGAGTTTATTGCTTCTCTACAAGGTACTGAGGGCCTCCACCAGAACCTGGGGCATGTGTATGCTTTGTTTGTTTTCTTTGCACCATTCCACATGGACCATTGTCCGAGAAGATATTTAACTTATTTTTAAGTAGTAGGGCTTACATGCTCTGGTAGCTCTGGTAGCGTAGTGGTTACGAATCGGGCTGCGAACCTTAAGGTCAGCGGTTCGAAACTACCAGCTGCTCCGCGGGAGAAAGATGAGGCTTTCTACTCCCGTAAAGATTTACACCCTCGGAAACCCTGTACAGGGTCGCTATGGGTCGGAACCGACTCGACGGCACTTAACAACAACAGGGCTTACATGGTAGGACAAAGCCTCTAATTCTAATTGTTGAAGTTATTTATCTTACACAACTTTTTAGAGAAAAGATGTTTTTATACCCAACAGGGATAAAAAATGTAACTTTTTTTTATTGGTGGTGACTAGAAACTAAGAGGGCTCATGTTGCCTCCACAATATCTAACTTATTCTTAGACAAAGGGATAAATTTCTCCAGAGATCAATCATATCCTGCTATTATTTGTTTGAATTCGGCCCCTTAAATTAAACTGTTACAAAGGATCTTTAATAATTTCCAGAGGTAAATGAAAATGTGCACGATTTTTTTTCTCCTATTCCCTTATAGCCATTTGGATGAAGTTATTTCTGTGGACTTAGTTGTACTAGTTTTCCCTTTCGTGACCTTGGCTGTTTCTTTTGGATAGCCAATTGCCTTAATTGTATTTTGCGTGCCATCTTAGGCCTTTATAACTGACTTTAGGAAAAGTGAGTTTTAGTGGCACTGTGGGTTAATGAGCTGGACTGCAAGGTTGGTTTGAATTAAAAGGTGAGCAGTTCAAGCTCACCAGCCACTCCTTTGAAACCCTATACAGAGTTGCTGAGTTGGAACCAACAACTAAGCATGTTTATGGTGTGACGCTGAAGGAAAAGCACAGGACTGCAAGGTTGGTTTGAACCACAAGTCTGGTGGTTCAAACTCACTAGTGGCTCCCTGGAAACCCTGTAATTGCTGAGTCGGAACCAACTTAACAATGCTCGTTTTTACATCTTTGACTTCCCTTTGTTAAAATGCAGCATCTTACACATTCCTGCCATTTCCTTCTAGGCTGCCAAGAGATTGCAGAGGAGTTTCGTTCCCAGGAAATTGATGGACAGGCCCTTTTATTACTTAAAGAAGAACATCTTATGAGTGCCATGAACATCAAACTGGGTCCTGCCCTCAAGATCTGCGCCAAGATAAATGTCCTCAAGGAAACCTAATGTGCTCTCTTGCACAAATCAGCCGAAGACAGACACTCCTTACTGTCTGGGTCATATAACCTGGAACCAGCAGAGACTTTGTAGGGAACAAAGAGCTGTTCCAATTATATAATCTCCCAGCAAGGGGATTATTGAGACAGGGAAGAGGAGTGCAAAAAACTGGGTGCTGGTGCTCCAAGCATGGCAGCAGCTTTTGACATTTTCTCTGGGTTCTTAATTTTTTTAAAAAGTTCGCAATTCTTACCTTTCCCATTGATCCTAAGTCTATCTTTATAAAAGTGGCAGTCTAGAGAACAAAGGCTGCTCAGCCTTATCCTGGAGTGGAGCATCTAGACAGTCTCAGTTCTCCAAGAAGAGAGTATTCAATATGGTAAGGCAAGGCAATGGGTGGGATGTAGGTTTGCCTCCCCAAGGGGAGAGGTAGGGTTCTCTAGCTTGTGTGACACAAGTAGCAAAATCCGGTATACCCCCTCTTCCCTCTGGATTGCCCCGCTGTGGCTGTGGCATGGCCCAGAGCTTACTTGTTTATTGTCACTCCCTCCCTTAGTATTCCACATTCACCTGCATCCATGGCAGGCTCACCAACCAGAGACTTGGTTGGCATGTGATTTGCTGCAGGGACTGAAAGCGTTTGACTGGCACCTGTGTGGCTGTTGTCATTCTTTCTGAACCCCATCCCCACCCCCCAGTTTATTTGTTGTCTTCTACCCTACCATTCTTTTCAATTCCAACTCTGCTCTGTCCTATAGCTTTATAAAACAGGAGTGTGTGGGGCTAAGGTCAGGAATATAAGTACCTGCCTTAGGTGCTATTCCTTGTACAACAAAAAATTCAAAATATTTTTTTTTTCCCCTTCCTCAGTAAAAAAGATCGAAAATTGGTCTCTTGTCGTACTCTATCACAATATTTGTCCTGTTTCACGCAAATGATTAAGCCAACCTGGTCTCTCTCTTTTTTTTAATCTGTGTTTTTTCTTTTTGGTACAAAAAGTGTAGGTTTTTTGTTTTTTTTTTTTTTGCATTTAAAACACCAGCGTGGGGATGGGATGCAAACCAAAAATAAAAATAAAAAAGATGTCACTTTTATAACATAATTTTCTGTTTACAAAGAAAACTCATTCCTATAGTATCGAAAGTTCAAAGATGAAGTAAGTTCGTTTTCCCTCTAAAGCCTATAAAAGCAGCTCCCTGCTGATTGGGTCCTCCCTGTACTCTTCTGGTGGCCCAGGGGTTTACTTTGGGGCACATGACCTAAACAGAAATATTAAAAACACCGTACCAAAGTACCACAAAAATGTGACGAGAAGACACCTCCCTGAGCCAGCAGAAGGGGCAGATGGGACAGCATTCTGTACCCAGACCAAAGGACAGCAGAGCCCTAGCTGCCTCACTTTTTTTGCTTCCATTCCCTTTCTGTGTAATTATGGGGGACATAGGAAGAGTCAAAATTATACTTGGTAAGAAAGTGCAGCATACGTTTAGAAATACTGGTAGAAGGAAATCCTTTAGGAAATAAAAAAGCTTTGCCAGCTTTTACTGTAAGCAGGGCCAAGAAGATCCCTCTACCAGGTAAACTGACTTCCCTTTACTGGAATCCCTGTGAGCTGTAGGGTGTCTGTCAACTGACTGGATTTCTGTATTAGGTATTCTGGCTATATACAAATGGTCAAGAACACATCCAGGATGATCCAGTTCAAGCTATAAAGTTACTCCAATGTAACATATGACACCTTATAATCCTGTAATTGAGAATTATCCACATTTTCCTGCCCTAATCACAGGTGGGAAAAACAAGTTTAGGACCTTTCCAGGTTCAGACCAAATAGCAGTGCTTTAGAACTTGGACTGCAACCAAGTGATCACTGCAAAGTAGTTCCAAGCAGCAAGAAATCCCATGCAGATTCTCATGGAACCTACAGTAGACTAACAGCATGAAAGCAACCAAAATTTGCCTTAATTAAAAAAAAAAAAAATCCAGTGTCTCAGAAACTTGTGAAAAGGTATTTAAAAAAGAAAGGGTCAGGGAGCCTACAATACCCTTTTACCCATTATGATCACTGTGTTTGTACCTATGGATGCCAAGAGTCTAGTAGCCTCTTAGTCACTGACCCTATTATCTCTAGCCTACAAAATAGGGGAGCAAAAGGGAAGATAAAAATAAAGCAGTCTGTAAAGCAAGAGCAGTGCCTAGGGTTGGATGAGTGGAGACACTTGAGAAATCTGGCTGAGTATGCTTTGGTTTGGGGGTGCTGAAGAGGTTGGACATTTACAGTGCTATCACATTGGTAATAAATGATCATCTCTTTCTTCTGACTCCTCCCCGAGCTGGTCATCCCCAACACCGCGATACGCAGCAGGTACATTTCGGGGTTTAGAACGGCACACAAAGTCGCAACCATCCTACAGGGGAAAAAAGGAGAGAACTCAGACTCTGCAACTTTAGGGCAAAGCAAGGTATTTTTATGGTCTAAGGATGTGGCAAGAACTGCTTTTCTCCAGGGACATTGAAGGAAATACCAAAGATGCAAGATTCAGATGTTCAAAAGGAAGCCAAGGAGCTAGACTCTTCTTTCTTCCAAATTCTTACTCACATGACCCTACAGGACAGTAGGAGGTCCCGTAGGGGTTCTTTATGGGAATGAGTGTAGAGGGAGCACCGGTTAAGTTCTCAGCTGCTTACTTAAAGGTTGACGATTCCTACTTACTGGCAGTTCCTTGGGAGAAAGGACTTCGCAGCTATCTCTTCCCATAAAGATTACAGCCTAAGAAACCTTAGGAGGCAGTTTCAATCTTTCTGTAAGGTTGCTGAGTTGGAACTGACAGCATACAACAACACATCTTTACTGGGAGCAGATTGCTGTGTCCTGGGTCTTTTCTCCCTTAGAGATTCTGGTAGGTATGAGCCACAAACTTTTGGTGAGCATTCCTCCATTCCTTTCATCTGTTGTTAAATGCTGCTGAGTTGGTTCCAACTCACAGCAACTATGTATAGGGTGCTGAGGAGCAGCTGGTGGTTTGAACTACCGACTTGTGATTCGCAGTCCAATGCTGATCCTATAGTACCACACTAAACCCCTTTAACAAGTAAGGATTTTAGGAGATGAGATCATCTTCTAATGGACTAGTAAGGACTTTTGAGGACAAGAACTAGGATATTATACTAATTTTGTATTAGGACAACATTCTTGGTTTGCCTGGGGCTTCTGTGGTTTTAGCACTGAATGCTCATGTCTCTGGAAACTCCTCAGTCCTGAACAACAGGACAATTTGTCACCCAACCTTTTAAACAGAGTAAGACTCAGTTTCCTTGTTACTTACGGCTATTAGATTGCCAAGATCCTGCCAGAAGGCCAAGTGAGGAAACTGCTCCATTCCCTTGGCTCCCACCACCAGTCGCTGGTATAGAAACCCCCCAATAATATACACAGCCACCAGTGATGCAAACCTGTGGAGAAAGAAAGATAGCTATACTTTAAAACTGAGAAATACCAAAACTTACTAATAACTTCTATAGTTTTACAATCTCTGTGCTGTAGTCTGTAACAAAGGGTAATGCCCAATGGAAATGGGGGTTGGTAGCTTCCTTAGATAACCAATTAAAGTCAGCCTGAGAGAAGCAAAATATTCAGAAACAATGAGACATAATATGTGTGTTTCTGACTCACTGCTGTATATGATCCCATTTCTCCCGAAGTTTTAACAATCTAATGGGGCAGAATTAAAAACTGCCCGGCTATCCACAGTGAAAAGAAAGAAAGCACCAGAATACAAATATTCATTGACACAAAATATTAAACCTACTAATTTTTTAACTTGTATTTTTAGAGTTCTCCCTTCTAAATTGGAGTAATAATGCACACATACAAATCATACCCATGTATCACCAAAGAGTTATTCTTGACTTAGTAAAATGGCTTGGATTGATGAAAGAAATCAGGTACTCACGTGACAAGTAAGATAGAACCCACACTGAGATGGGAGACCTCTGGGGAACAGGCCAAGCTGCTATCCATCTCAAAGAGGTAGAAACAATCTTGGACTTTGCCTCGCTCCTCAGATACAGGGTTAAAATTATCCTAATGATGAGAGGACAGAGCCCAACAAATTAAGAGGTAAAGTGTTTTCTATCCAAAAAACCCACAAAAAACAAACCCCACCTGCTCTTCCTGGTTCGATAACCTACTTTCCACGTATGATGGTACATGGGTGTTTTATGACATAAAAATTGAACTCCTAGTTTTCTCATGTTCACCCTGACACATCTCACCTCCTCTGGAAGTTTTCTCCTACCTCAGGCTGATCCTATCACCATCTTCCTAGACTTATACACCCCATGATGCCTCACCGCTAGGGTGTGTCGGTTACAGGAGATCATCACCACTGCACGACGCTGTTCCTTGCCGCAGTGGTTGTCGTATTCATCACCTCCTTTATAGATCAGCATGATCCAATTACCTGAGAAGGGGCAAGAAAAATGCAACTAGGGAGTCAGGAAAAGGCAGAGTGGAACTAAAGGATTCAGTGAGATGAATATTAATTGAAACAACCCTTATCAGTGAGTACTACATATCAGAAATGTCAGGTTAAAACTTGCTTTCTTAAGGTAACTAAGAATCAGATACTCCTATAACAATAATCCTAATTTTCCGCATTAAAGGCAGACAACTGATAGTTTAACACTAATTATGATCCATACCTTTATTTAATACTGATTCACATTTTCTGAACACCTGTTAACAGCAAAAGAAGAGGGTCCATACAATCACTGGGTAGCAGAGGGGAGCCCGTCTAAGATTTAAAATTAGCCACAGGTAAATTCAAAGTGGATAATTCTTTTAAGACTGGACTACATTTCTTCTTTAGTATTCACTGTGTTCAAAGTTCTTTAGCAAAATATCTCATTTAATTCTCGCAACAATCATGTAAGGTGATTAAGGTAAGAATTCACCTTATTTTAAATATGAAAAAACAAGACAAAAACTTTGAAATGATTTTTCAAGGTCATGTTATTGTTAAGTGCCACCGAGTTGGGTCCAACTCATCATGAGCCCTGTATATGGTTTCTGAGGAGTGGCTGGTGGGTCTGAACTACAGACCTTGCGGTTAGCAGTCTAGTGCTTATCCTACAACACCACACCAGGACTTCTTTAAGGTCACAGATCTAGTAAATATGATGGACTTGTTAAAAAAACCCAAACTATTCTACTAAAGCACCAACTATGTACACTAAATAACTTACTGATTTGTCTGCTTAAAGGTAGGAAATTAGAATACAGGTATTCAATATAGTCCTAGCAGCAAAAAGAGCTTCATGATTTTTGAGAACCACCACCACCACAGCAAAAGTTGTTGGGTGAATTCCTGTAGATTGACTGATTTACAAAAAAGGCTGAACTTAAGTTTAACTGGCAGTTTGATTACTTTAAGAGAACTGGCAAGTGGCTAGCATTTTTATGCCTGTATGAAAGTTAAGTATTTGTTAAGTAAGTATTTGACTAGAGTCTTCTTTTTGCATAAACTTTCCATTAACCTTAAAACAAACACATAAAACAAACAGCTGTGGACACACAGACATCCTGTGGTTTACTGCCATCGCAGGCCTGCTGACCTGCACAGACCAAGATATGCTACAGACCCTGGGGAAAGTTAAGATATATAAGATTGACAGAGGGACTGACTTGGGATCAGTCAATCAATAGAGAGAGTCTTACTTCCATTGAAGATGTGAGTCTGATTGAGTCTCCCTACCACCGTCTCCTTCCCGTTACTTTTGTTGATCTGCACCAGGCCTGCTCCAGCTGTGTGGTTGCTAGCTTCCCGGCACACCCTGAACATATAGATATATGTATCTGGGCCTTGGCCCACAGTGCTTTCAAAGCTGTAAGGAGATGTGAGAAGAAAGAAAAGAAAATGATTAGCTATCAACCTCAGGAAGAGCAGGCATGCTTGGTTTACTTAGGTGGCATTATGGCTAAATGTACTAGTAAACAGTAATTTTTGAATCCTAAGCAATCCATGACCACGATAGACCATCATGATTGCTGATGATGACTGACTGAAAGAGTCTCTGTTCATGATCACCTTTCCCCACAGGTGTCTTGGCAGAAAGACCTGGTGATTTCCTTATGAAAAACCAGTCACTGAAAACCCTGTGGAGCATAGTTCTACTCTGACACATATGGGGTTACCCTAAGTCAGGGTCAATTCGACGGCAATTATTTACAGATTAATATGTAAGAAGTTTCCTGAGAGTTATGATGATTTTATACAGGCTTAAACACATGTATCTTACACTTCTGAAGTTCCACTATATTTAGATATCAAACATGACTGAATTCCTAAAAGCTGGTCTCTTGGAAAAATGGCTGTTAAGTGCCGTCACATTGGATCCGACTCACAGCAAATCCTATATAGGATTTTCAAGCCTTCAAATCTTTGAGGGATCAGAAAGCCTCATCTTTCCCCCATATAGAGTTTGGTGGGCTCAAACCACAGACCTTGTGTGGATAGCAGTCCAGTGCTTATCGTATGGAGCCACAATGTTCCCTCTTGGAAAGGTACCCCGGCCAAATAATACCAATACTGCTAACACACAGATTAGAACCATCTCCTATAAGAGGCTATTATACCTATGTTCTCTCCATAGTAATATTGAAATAAAATCAGTAAGAGGCAAAAGACTATCTCAAATTGAGCCCCTTACGGTTCCTCTCATTTTACCTTTTGTTAAAAAGTGGTTTCAGCCTCTTCAGTAGAGCCAACTCCTTCTCTGACTCTTTGCCTTTTTCTCCTACGAGGTCACAGGTTTTTTCTTCTGCCTGCCAGGTTTCTTTCACAGCCGCAGCGTGGAGAAGCAGAAGCAGCAGGCCGGTCCTCCAGCAGCTGAAGGGGAGCATCCTTTTGGGAGAGAGTGTGTGTGTTGGCGAAGGGAGGGATCAGGGGAGAAAAGAAAGAGATAAAACAGATGTGTAATGAGTGAATGGTACTTCAATTCTGCAGCAAGTAGAGGAATCTTTGGCATATGCAGTAAGTTGCTGTGTGCCATCGACTTGGTTCCTCCTTATAGGGACCCGGGACAGGGTTTCTACAAGCAATTAGTGGGTTAGAACTGCAGACCCTGTAGTTACCAGTCCAGTGCTTATCCAACAGCACCACACCAAGGCTATATGCAAAAAGTAGTACATTAAAAATTGTAAGTAATACATTTTCATGTCTCTGTGCTAAGAAACTTCCTGGGGAAGGATATGTTTGGAAAAGTGGAGGGGCAGCAAAAGAGCGGAAGACCCTCAACGAAATGGGTTGGCACAGTGGCAGCAGCTTGACACAGTACCTATAACTTAACTTCCATTTACTTGAATGGTTCACCTTCTTTATAAAAATAATTGCAGCATATAAATTATAGGGAGAACATTCACTAGGACAAAATGAGTAGTGTGAAGTTGACTGCCAGAACTCACCTTTTCAGGCTCTACTAGTCACTAGATTTCTATCTACTAGATTTCTATCCACTAAGTATAGCTGTCTATGTTCCAAATTGCTGACAACTCGTGGGAATCACCAAGACACTTTACTATTTTGTAAATCTAATGCACTTGTTGGCTTCTATAATCATAAGAACGGAAACACAAAGATTCCTATTTCTCAAACTCATTTTCTTTTCTCTAATCCATCTTCCTACCCAGAACACATGATTTACCCTGCAACAAGACTTCACTCTGGTATCTATCAATAATTCCTCAAGCCATTATTTAAAAAATGAAAGCAGTGTGGCTGAATCAATTCTGACTCACAGTGACCTCATATGTTACAGAACAGATCTGCACCACAGGATTTTCTTGGTTGTAATCTTTATAGAAGTGATTTGCCAGTTCTTTCTTCCTAAGTACTACTGGGTGGGTTTGAACCAGCAACCTTCAGATTAGTAGGCGATTACATATTGCTTGTGCCACGCAGGGACAAGCATAAAAGTGTATCACTAATTTTCCTGACACAAAGATATAATTATAAACTTGAATAAAATGCTTTCAAACTATATATCTGACTTGAGTTTGAATACTCTTTAAAGTCCTATAACTTGTTTTCCACTGACTCAACTTGAAATGGGTAGAAGTGAAATGGTACTAATGAGTTTAAAGATACATGAATACCCCTTTCTACACTAATTTTTGGATGAGCGTAGGCAGTCAAAGCTATGCTTTCTTTTTGACACAAAAGGTATTTGGAAAGTGATTCCTCACACAGTTAACTAGAAAGTGGAATTAAAAAAAAACTCACATCTCAACCTCCCTTCTACCTTCCAAATTAATCCACTGCTCAACACACAGATTTGAGCAGCTGATTTACTGCCAACAAACAGGAGGCATGTTTTGTTATTATATAGATTTGGCACACCAAGTTTCTTATATTCTTTCAGGATCTAATTTAATATGTCAACATTCTCAGCTCTTTCCCAGGAACAGTTTTCTGAAGAGGTGACGATACAGAAGGCTGTTCTTTCCACAAAACAGAACAAAGAAACTCACACAACTGGGAAGTGATGAAGGGTTAAACACCCTACATTCAGCATCGTTGTTGTTAAGTGCTGATGAGCTGATCCCGACCCATAGCGACCCTGTATAGGGTTTCCAAGGAGCAGCTGGTGAGCTTGAACTACCAACCTTCAGCATTAGTTAGGCTGAAATATTTATCATTTGCTTATTGGTTCAAAAAGGTAAGATGAGAATGGCATGGCAATTACATTTCGTTTTCTTTCTTTTCTGCTTCAAGTTTGGTGATGTATATCACATATACTCACACACACAGCTTCAGAAAATCTGTGAAAAAGATCCATTATCTTTTAAATCATATTTTCAAGAATATTCTGAAGCTCCCTCTTGTGTGTGTATGCACGCATTATATACATATATCTGCAAAGGTGCTGTGGTTAAGGGCTTCAGCTGTTAATCAAAAGGAAGTCATAGTTCAAATCCACCAACAGCTCCATGTGAGAAAGCTGTGGCCCTCTGCTTCTGTAAAGATGACATCTTTGGAAACCAAGGGGCAGTTCTAATCTATCTTATGTGGTTGCTATGAGTGGGAATCAACTCAGTGGAAATGGGTTTGGTTTGGGCTTACCCACTTACATGTCATATGTGTGTGAAGTTGGACATAGATATTTTCTGGAAAACTTCTGATAACAAATATAGGGGTGCAACAAGGCAAAGACTAAGTATTCCTTTTTAAAGTGTGCTGCACTGGGATTCTCAAGGTGTTTAGATGTTTTGGAAGTAAACAGCAGGGTTTTATGATCTTGAAATTTACCAATTTTCTTATTCTACAACCACAGATCTATGTGGTAATACATCACATTCTCCTTTATGGGGACGGCCATTTATTACTCCAGAAACTGGGCCATTTGAGACACTCACTCCTCCACCCCTTAAGACTAGCCAGGGCCATTTGCCATTTTTGATTTCGTGTGCGGGGAGTTGATTCCAACTCAAAGTGAGCAGCTATATAGGGCAGGATGGAAGTGTTCTACAGGGTTTCCCAGGTGATGGTGTTTACAGAAGTGGACTGTCACATCTTTCTCCAGACACGAGGCTAATGGGTTCGAATCACTGACCTTTGGGTTAAAAGCCTTTCTCTTTTCCCTTGCCTTCAGAAGCCTACATATTTCAGAAGGGCCGCTCCAATTAGCTAAAAGGCCCAAAGTTGAAAGAGCTCCCGAAAGCGCCTCAGAGTGGTTCTATATCCCAATAGCGGAAACTCCTTACAAAGAGGAACAGCAGATAATCCTCTATTAGTTCTCAGTCTCCACACCGTACATACAAGCATTTCCCTAGAAACTCTTCCTTGGTAGGGTTCCGGAAAATTTCCCTCAGTCTAGTCTCATGGCTTTCCAAATAATAAGAGCAATAAACCAAAACCAAACCACACTCACTGCCACCTCCAAATATTGGATGGAACTTTCTTTACCTCCATCTACGACGCTGATCAAACTTCCTTCTGCAAATCAGTGACCCCTCACATGGATTCCATACCAGGGAACATTCCTGTCTCTTACTTTCGAATATGTCAATTTCCTCCCTGGTCTTGTGGGGTACCTTCGGGACTCTGTGATATCCCGCCCTCACGAGTCTGCCTCCATTCTGCCCTAGGGCTCCTTAGTCGGATGGTTGCCCAGGACCATGGGCAAGGCAGCCGATCCTAGCTCCTGTCACAGGCGCCGAGGTGTAAGCGCTCCCCAGCCGCCCTCCCACTCCTCCACGCCCCCTCAAACTCACGTGCCACGGGCAAAGGGTGCAATCACTGCTCAGAATCCCCCGGTGAATTCTTGTCTGGATCTGGGAGACGGGGCCAGCGAGTGGCCAGCCGCGGACCCCGGTCCCAGAGCTCGTGTCAGAGGCCAGTGTCCCCCTAAGTGCCTCGCAGATTCCCCACTCCGGGAACCGGAAACAGGAAGCGCCAAGCAGCCGCTGGGCAACTGCTCCTCCCACTAGACCCCGCGGCATGTGATCAGAGAACTAGTTAATATCTTCCCTTTTTCTCCTCCCGCTAGACGTTGATTGGACAACACTGATGGGCGTTTAACTGCATCAACTCCAATCATCATCGAGGTTTTCAAGTTATGTTCCACCTTTTCGCACCGCTTTCTACCATTGGGGGTCCCTTCTAGGGCCTGCAGGCCCAGCCGCCCCGTCACGTGTGGTCACGCGCTGGGGCCGCTCCACCGTAGGTCGACTGAAGAAAGTAGACGGAGGAGGGCGGCAGAAGCGGAAGTTACGGGAGGCGGCCAGCCCTCTGGGTCTTGGTGGGAGTTGTTCTCGAGCCAAGTCTCCACCTTCCGGTATTTCTTCCAGATTGCGTCGCTTTAGAGAGTGGCAACTCTGCCCTCTGCTGGCTGCAAGTCTTGTCTCTGGAGATCGTGGAGCAAATGGGTCGTGGCCACACTGGCTGTCTTAATGACCCCTTTGCTCTTTGTTTTCTTTCTACAGTTCAATACCTTGGGGCGGGTTATTACTGTTATTGCCTATATTATTATCAATACTCTTCCATCTCATGACATTTTGCTTGATGAACACTCTGCAGCCTCCTCTGTTCTGTTTTCGTCTGCATCCCCGGTTCGCACCATCACGTTCAGCATCTTTTGGCGTCTTGGAAAACAACACGATTTTAGATTTTGGCCTATGCTAAGATCCTTTGCGATTTCCTTTATGCCATTCTTAGCCACCTCTTGAAATCCTGCTCTTTCTCAGAACTCCGTTCAAACACTTAAACTCTTAGATTCACTCTCTTGAGAGTGAATATCCCGTCGAAATGTCCACTTGTCTGTGCCTACTTTCAGTCTAATTTCATTCTGCTTTGACGTGTACATTGCTTCTGTGTATGTCTCTCTCATAGTTTGAGGATATAGATTGGGTTTTGATTCATGTTCTATACTCGTTAGACCTAGTGCAGTGCTTTGAACCCAAACTAGCAATAACAGCAACATACATAACGCTATGTGCCTGGGGGAGACCTAGTGTGGCACTGTGGGTTAATACACTGGACCACAAAGTCAGTTTGTACCCCAAAGTCTGCGGTTCACCAGTTGCTCCTCGGAAACCCTATACAGGGTCGCTACGGGTGGGAACCGACTCTATGCGCTTCACAGCAACATGTGCCTGATACTGCTGTACATTAAACAACTATTAGTTCACTTAATCTTCACACCAACCTTAAGAGGATGTAGTCTATCCCAATTTGACAAATGAGGCATGAAAGAGAAACAGGGTAAGTATAACTTGCCCTGGATCAAACAGATATTCAGTTATGAAGTCAGTATTTAAAACGCAGGTTTATAATCTCCAGAGTCCACAGTGTTTGCTATTTAGGCTCTTTCTAATGTCTTACTTTTATCAGTTCAATAAATACTGAGCAACAACCATATTCCAACACTGTACTAGGTTACTGTTGAGTATCCATTCCAGAACTGATAATGTGTAGTTAGTAAATTCAAGTTTGTTTGCTTTTTAAAAATTGTAGTAAATATGTGTGTGTTCTCAAGGGTATACGTTCACTGTGTGTATGCTGAGCAAATAATAGGAGAACCTGGATTAGATGAAGAAAAACATGGCATCAGGATAGGAGGAAGCATCCTTGACAACCTGCAATAGGCAAATAATACCACCTTTCTTGCTGAATGGGAAGAAAACTTAAAATACTAATGAAGATCAAAGTTTTTAGTATGGGTTGCACCTCATTGGAAAGAAAACAAAAATCCTCCCAACTGGACCAATAAATAATATCACGATAAATGGAGAAAAGATTGAAGTTATGAAATACTTTGTTTTCCTTGGATCCACAATTAACACACTCATAGAAACAGCAGCCAAGAAATCAAACAACATATTGCATGAGACAAATGTGCTGTATAACACCTCCTTAAAAGTGTTTAAGAGCAAAGATAGCAGTTTGAGGACTAAGGTATGCCTAACCCAAGCCATGGTATTTTCAATCATCTCACAGGTGTATAATGATTGGATAATGAATAAAGAAGACCAGAGATAAATTGATATATGTGAATTACTGTATTGGTGAAGAATATTGAAAGCACCATGAACTGTCAGAAGAACAAACCAATCTGTATTGGAAAAGTACAGCCAGAATGTTCCTTAGAAGGGAGAATGGTGTGAGACTTAGTCTCACTTACTTTAGACCTGTTAAGAGGGACCAGCCAGCGAAAAAGAGGAAACCCCAATGAGATTGATTGACACAGTGGCAGAAGCAATGGGTTCAAATAACAATTTTGAGGATGGCACCAGACCAGGCAATGTTTCCTTCTTTTATGCATAAGGTCGCTATGAGTCGAAACAGACTTGATGGCACCTAACAACAAAAACAACATATACGTGGAGTCCAAGGGTGGAATAAATATCTAAGTGATTGACTACTAACTTAAAAGTTGACTATTGGAAGCCACTCAGAGAAGTCTCAGTAGAAACGTTTAGCAATCTGCTTCTGAAACTTTTATGGAGAAAAGTTTTGCTCTGCAACACATGGGGCATGGGGCTGATGACTCAAAGTCAACTGGTAGTCTAAATATATATTTAATGATTTTGGTCATTGTCGGGAGTAGCACTGGGCAGGAAGAAGTGATGTGTATGGGTTGGTAGTGGAAACAGTACTAGAAATGCAATTGAGTAGATTGGGTAATAATAGAGTGTCTTCTGTGGGTGTCAGTGGGCTCTCCTGTCCTTTGAGTTGCAAGTAACCCAGGACACTCCACCGCTTCTAAGACATCATTGCCAATGTTAGGAGTGTTCTGTATCAGAGCTCACACCTCAGAGAGCTGATTTCAAGGTTCTTGCCATAGATGAGTAATCTTTGTTTAGTTTCTGTGGTGCTTCATTCTAGCATCTGTAATAGCTCAAACCTTTTCCTTCCAGCTACCACACGCATTATCCTCTCTACTGAAGACAAGTTGTTCACTTTGTTTAGAAAACAGTTCTGTGAGTTTGTCCTTAAGTGTTGAGGATGCTTCCTGCTCAGTATAAGCAGGAGAGAAGATGGTGAGGGCACATCTTGATATTCTGAGTACGTCCTTCAATTCACTGTTTTAATATTCTAGACCAGCTCACGGGTTTGTTTTTTTTGGAAAATTTTTATTGTGAATTGAGTGGTTTATAGAGCCAATTATAAATTTTGCATTCAACAAATTATATACTTTGTTTCATCTGATTGCAATCTCTCAATGTGCCAGCACTTACCCAGTTCCTCTCTGTGTTTGTTTCCTGACCTTCTTTCCTAACCCTTCTGAACTTTGCCTTTAGGCAAATGCTGCCCCTTTGAACTGGAATGATTGACGAATGTATGGTGTGTGTATCTCATTAGTGTTGTTCCACCCTAAATACCTATTTATTGCTTGACTGAAATTTGAATCTTGGGGTGTGAGTTCAGTTCTAGGCCTAAACGGTGACTAAAGGCCATAATTTGGGGGTTCTACCAGTCTCCACGGTACTTAGCAACAACCACCACCACCAGTTTCTATCTGTCCAGTAAACCTGGTCTTTTTTTATGATCTTGAATTTTGTTTCATATTTTCTACCACTCTATCCAAGACTTTCTCTTGTGATCCCCTGCAGAAAAGTTGATAGTGGTAGCCAAGCCCCATCTAGTTTTCTGGTCCCAGAGTTGTGGAAACTGATGTTCAAGTGGTCCATTAGACCACTGTACTGTTTCCTGGCATCTTCAGTTTTCATCACTCTTCTTGCCTCTGGACAATGAGAGTCCCATAGCACCTTAGATAGCTGTTCGTGAGCTTTTAAGATCCCAGTGGTTATTCACCAGAGTAGCTTGTAGAGTATTGTCTTTAAACCAGACCAGCTCTTGCTTTGCATATGTTGACTGTGAGCTTCTCTGGAACTTTATTGGGGAGGGTTTTTAAGCTCTCAACAGCTTTCTTCTGTATGAATTTTGTGTTACAGTTTTTGCTTTGCTCTTGTTGTCAACACGTACTATCTGTTTACAATTATTATGTGTTTACATACTATCTTTCTAAATTTGTCTGGTAGTTTCTTAGGGCTGTTATGTATTCAGTAAGTTTTCTAGTGTTTGATTAAAATATGCTGATCTTGAATTAAAAAAAAAATTCTCTTTACTTTGGTTTTAAGTTGCTATTCTTTTTCTGTTTTCTTAAATTTGTAGTTGTTGTTATATGCCGTGGAGTCGGTTCCGAACCATAGCGACCCTGCACAGGGTTTCCGAGGCTGTTAATCTTTACGGGAGCAGAACGCCTCATCTTTCTCCCGAGGAGCAGCTGGTAGTTTCAAACTGCTGAGCTTGCGGTTCGCAGCCCGATTCATAACCACTACGCTACCAGAGAACATTATATTCTTACTGATTTTTTGTTGCTGTTGTTGTAGTCTAATAGTTTTACCATTTACTGAGGAAGAACTATTAATTTTTCTAACTTCAATTGTGGATTTATTTCTCCTTCAAATTTGGTCCATTTTTACTTCATATGTTTTGAATTTCTATAATTAGGTGTAGGATCATTTGCTGCCGTTCTGTATGCTTGTTGAAGTGACTCATTTAACTGTGAAATGTACTGTTTTATATCTTATAATACTTTATGGAATTATTTTGTCTTATATTAATATAGCCACTTGTGGCAGACTGAAGAATGCTCCCCCTCTCCCTGTGCAAAGATGTCCACACGGAACCTGTGAATATGTTGCCTTATATGTCAAAAGAATCTTGGCAGATGTCATTAAGTTAACAATCTTGAGATGGGGGAGATTGTGTTGGATTATCAAAGTGAGTCCAGTGTAATCAAGTGTGCCTCTGTAAGAGGGAGACAATGGAGTCAAAGTCAGAAAGATGAGATGTGAATATGGAAGCAGAGATTGGATGGAAGCAAAATGGAAGAAGGGGTCATGAGTTGAATAATGTAGATGACCTCTAGAAACACCAAGAAAATGGATTTTGTTTTCTGAAGCTTTTTCAAGGAGCACAGTCTTGCAAACACCTTGATGTTAGACTTTTG